TTGTCGCGCGTTGTTGCATGGAGTGTAGACTGAATGGAGGGAGGAGGGAAGAGAGTGTAGAACGCACGATAGGGAGCAGAAAGTGTGCCGTGCCGTGAGGCACATGTAGAAGGAAGGTGGACGAGGTATTCAGGCTGACGCCGACTGACCACCTGGATGTACTCTGACACTTATATGACCCTGTGCCTATCCTCTGCATCCCCTCACAACGTTGGTATTGCACCACCTTTTGACATGCACCTCCTGCTGCATTCAGTGCCACTACGATTGCATTCGCTGCTTCCATGGATGTGTGATGCAACTCAAACACGCACTTCCACCCCCAACTACTCCTCTGCATTCATTACGCCGCGCCTCTCAACTCCATCCTTCCCACTCTTCCCACGACCTGCTACCAGTTGCCCATCTCCATGACGCCTTCCATCCATCCTCATTCGCCCCATTCACATCCTCAGCCCTCACTCTCATCAATGGACAGGTGTAAGTAAGTGAGTATGTGGATAAGTGGGTGGGTGGGTGAGTGAGTGAGTGAGTGGACGGACGAACGAACGAACGAATGAACGGAGGGACAAACGTACAGGTGGTTGTGCGCCTCATCGCTACCAACGCTGGCTTACTTCATCAATCACAACAAGTGACAAATCACCACTGTCGCATTTCATTCCTCGAGAAGGGCGAAAAAACGTTCTCTCCTTTCCACCACTCCTCCAATCGGATGGACGAGTTTCTTGACCATGCGGAAACGGTGATCGATGCATTGGGAGATCGAGGCGACAACCAGTGGGTGTGTCAACAGTGTGCGAAGTGTGGAATGCCACCACGTGGTGACGAGAACACACGGTGACGGTCAGCGGCACCACGTAGCTGAGTGGCAAGTAAGTAGTATGTGAAGGAGTGAGATGTGAGTGACTGGTTGGAGTCATTTGTGGACATAGTTGAGGGGGGAGGAGTGGGCGATTACCCGTTTGTGGGGAGTGGCATTGAATGTGTCTGCAGACCAAAATGGTGGGGATGTGATTGGCGGTGGTTGAGGCTGATGGCGGTTGTGTAGGTGGGTGAGGAGGAGAGGTGGTGCAGCTGGCACTACACCTTGTTACAGTGACACCTTCCTACCTTCCACCGCCTGAGTAGACCAACACCACGACGGGAGGGAAAGAGATAGAGGGAAGGAGTGAGGTAAGGAGGGAGGGAGAGATCATGGGGAGAGAAGTTGAGACGAGGTATGTGGGAGGGCACGTGAATGCGAGGTGGGTGTAGGTGTGGGTGTGTGGATGCAGCAGAGGTAATCGTGTTGGCGTGTCCGCTCTCCTGACTGCTCGTATTGGGTACGTGACGGGACTGCGAGGTCGACGCAGCGTCTGCTTTGATGAGAGGTGGAGTGAATGAGCATCACACTGACACCTATCAACGACACCGTAATCTGGTGCTTGTGACTGTTGCTCTCTGGTCAACCTCAATCCATGCCAGACGTGCGATAGCTTTACACAAACGACTGACTATCTAATTTCTGATCCTAACCTTTGCCTTATTTTATCAGAAACAAGTGAAATGCCTATCACTGCTTTCCACCCTGCGGCAATTGGTATTGCGCCATTAGACACTGCTGCTGTTAGTTGCACAACTCATGTAAATGGCAAGCACGGAATAAAACCAGGATTGCCAAGACTATGCCTCCTAACAGTCTTGGATTACTTTGGGACCACCCATGCCTGACGATCTTTAAATTGGCCAATATTAAAGAAGCGCAATTTTTTTACTTTCCTTTTAGATGTATTAGTGTGCTTAAGAACTCCTTAAGTGGCATCAGAATGCATAATGAGCATTATACCTTACGAACTTTGAAATTTTGTTATAAGTGCGTGTTATCTACTTATTTACATAAGTAGTATATCCTGACTCATAAATCTAAACACACATCGACTATTAATTACGAGTTTTACATGTTAAATCTACATCACTTTCCATTCTTATGCGTTAGCTACCTCAAAAATTGATGTGAAAATGCCAAATTTTACCTAATGCAGAGCTCGACCTGCCTGATTTGTGCGAAAATGTTTATTGAAGTAAAGTTTTTTTCTTATCATTTAAGTTTCATGTTTCCAGATCCACGAAACTCATTAAAAACTGTACTATTGATCTTTTAGTGAGTAAATAGGATGAAAGAGAGAAGTTGCAGAAATTTGTTTTCCAGTTTTGGAGCATGAAAATTACCTCTTGGTGTGAGTTTGTTTGGTTGTTAGTCCGTTTTATTTTGCGGCCTAACGATGGTCTTCACCTTAAGTCTGCTGTTCATCAACCCTCCAGATTTATCAGTCAGCCAAACTGGAAGTAACGACTCACAGAAGTACCGAATCACCGTTGCCAGCACGTAAACGCTCTCCAGTAACTCGGTCTCTCGTTCTTCACTATCCCTGAAGTTTGCCAATGAAATTCTCTTGACCATTTTTAAGGTCAAAATTCAGAATGAATTTACTCCTTTGTTTGATGTTGACCGAAATAAACTGCTTCTCTCTCTCGTCACTGAGCTTATCTACCATCACTAACCTTATTATTCACCTTAAGGTTAGAATTTGTTGAATCGAATGATATAATTCTACTATTTTAAACAATTTCGCAAATCACTATACAAAATAAAAGGTTTTGCGCTTTAAAATCCTTAATGACTTTGTTACGCTTATGAGGGATTTAAGTTAATACATCTTACAGCCTTTACAATAATGCGAGAAATATTATAACTGTTTGAGTTAACTACTGGAGTGTTAACATGTTCATGCTTCATTAAATGGGCAATTTCTTAAGACCTGCATGTTGCTCTCGAATGCTTACAATGCGCCATACATCCTTCTTAATAATTGAGTTTAGCTGCCTCATCAATTTTTCCAAACCAGCTCCATAACTTGCACTCAAATCAATCTTAACTTTGCCTTTTATTAATGAGATGCTTAAACCCTTACCTCACCAATTTTTCAGCATTATTCACAAAGCAGGGTCTTTTGGGACTGGACAACCCCTTCTGATACTCCCATCGGCCACCCTATTGGCCGATGACCAACCAATCCGGCTTGTTGCTGAACGGGTCATGTCTAAAGGTTTGCTAAGTGGTCCGCAGCAGTTGTGGCTATTACGCATGTAGACGAGGTGTGTTGAAAGAGATGATATGGCTGCATCGTCACTGCTACTAACGTGATTAAAGGCAGTATATATGTGCACAGTTGACAATGTCTAAAGGGAGGGAGTTTACTCTGCCGGAAGGATTGAGTTTGAATCTCACCTGCCGATTTCGGAAAGGACCAAAAAATCCCATCACCTGGCAAAAGAACGGAGTGGATCTCAGGCCCATGGACAAAAATCAGTCGGCTAAGATTGTCGAAACAAAGTAAGTTCACTACCATTTTACAGTTTTCATTATATCATAAATTTTTAAGCATTTATTTAAAGTGCCATTATTTCTTTCGGCTTTACTTATAATACGCATGCAATTATTTCAACATAAAATTATTAGGTTTATTTTTGTGAGTTTATTTTGTTTTTTGATCTTAGAACTGTAATTTTTGTTTTTATAAATTTGACTGAGTATGACCTCAGATCTTCGCCACTTTGAAATGGAAAACGGTGAGGGGGGGAAGCAAAGATGTGGAGGTTTTCCTGACTTTTGTAATAGAAAAATCGAGGTATTTATAGCACCTTCAAAAATTCACAAGTAAACTCTACAAATGATGCATAACTCTACAATAAGGCGACTATTTGTGAAGTCTCCTTAACGAAAAGGGATGAATGCATGGCACAGTAGTGTAGAGAATGTGGGTGATTTATAATGTCTCACACATTTAGAGATGGTGCATTAATTAAAGGCGGTTAACGGACCCCTTTCTTTTACCCATCCTTCCTCTACCCTCCTAATTATGATGGGGATGTCCAAGGTCACTGAACTATTTTATGATCCAAACTAGATTGAAAAATTTCCCTGCTTTCTGTCAAACCTACATTGAGAGGAGTGCCGTGCAAAAGAAAAATGTGAACTAGTGAACTTTTTGTCGGCGTGACGCGAATTGCTCTTGGTTAAAATGGGGGCTCTATTTCTCCTTAAATTGCCTTGTTAAAATTAGAGGACGAGGATTGATGTCCTTGCTTACAATGCGTGTGTGTGGATGCCATTGCTCATGTGTGACTCACATACTACATTCGTAGGGGATTTTTATGCGATCTGAATTTCTTGCTGTGTGCAACTCCATTGCCAACAGCGGAGGAGCTCATCAGTTCTTTCACCACTTCCATCATTCTCGGAAGAAAAATGTATTTTTTTCTAGATCTCAAACAGTATGAGCAAATCCAAAACAATGTGTAGAATTGATTTAAACCAGTCTCCAAGGGTATGGGACACACTAAGAGGTGGTGAAATGCAACTTAGCATGAGAAGCGATTGCATTTCTCATAAATGGAAGAATCAATTTAGCTTTTATGACTCTAAGCTTCGTCGCAAGACACGCCTTGATTGAGGATTTTAAATGAAAGGGAAATCTCATTTCCTCCACTTGTGCACAGTTTGATATGAATTTTCTGCCAACTTTGGTCCACTTTTAAACCTCGTTTTTCATATATAAAAAGGCGATATTTTTTGGGTCCCAAAATGTACTTTTGTCCAAAATATGTGGTATAAGCTTACGATTAATAATAGCTGTTTGTGAGAAAAAATTAAAAATTTTTAATTTTACTTTTCACGATTTTATTAAACGCGAAAGGCTAATCACTCGGTTGTATGAAATCTTCCCTTTGGACGGGTTGTTAAACCTGACTTCTACTAAATCAGGACTGTGGTCCGACCGAGTGAATAAAGAAACGACTTATAAGTACTTAAAAAATGAGTTGTCCACAAATATGAAATAAGAAATTCGGACCAATGCATTTAGCGGTCAGTACTTCGACAACAGGTTGGTTGCATCACAAAGACAAGACGGATAACTTCTAGGTGGACAGATAAAAATAAAGTATTAAATTATGTATCATCTTCAGTTGTGAATTTTCCATCTGTTTGAAAATGACCGTCTGTTTACACTATGTCGAACTTTAGCGATGGCCTTGGAAGAACAAATTAATCAAGTTGTCTCTTTAAAACAGTAAATAACTCTACCTCCCAACAGAAAATAAGCCGTTTTTAAAATTTATTTTTTATTTATTAAAAGTCTACTCTCAATGCTGATGCTAACGAACTTGACACAATCCGACGCAGGAAATTACAGTTGTCAGAGCATTCGAAAGTCTGGACCAATCTCTCAGTGGATCTACATCCATGGTGGGTTTAGCCACTGTGTTAAAAGCGCGTTTATATGCTGTACAGAGATGAGTCCTACGAAGAATTTTTAAAACAAAGTAGCCTTGGAAAAAAATTGGAAATCTCTGCAATCGTTATTCGTGGTAGTTAGCTCATAACAAAGAGCTTAAAGACGAGAAATCGGCTCGTAGTTGGTTCGATAACATCCGTAGTAAGGCCGCTAGTGAACTTGGTGTCGCATACAAAGCGCAAGAAGACACAAGAAGTTGCTCTATTTGTACCGTTTCGATTTTTAAAACAAAGCCTATATTTGGTGCAAGCACTAGAAATGTACTTGCCTTTAGGCTTTCATTTCTACTGCATGTCCTAATAAAGCATTGCGTGTTTGACACGCAGGTGAAATTAAGTGAAAAAAGCGCGTAAATGTCCCACCCATACGGTAACTTGTGCTAAGTGCACCTTTAATTTTAGTTAAAGACCAAAATGGGGATCTAAACGGATCACGCATTGTTGCTGACGAACGTAAGTATGTTCTCGATACTCATTTCTGGTTGATATCTACATATTACTCTTATATGAGTACTTACTTCTCAAAGTGATCTTTCTATTCCATTAAATCACATGTTTGCTGAGATTCTATAGAAATCCAAAGATTCATTCGCTGTAATTTGGGAATTTAAAATCATCCCAAGGTCAAAATTGAGTAGACATAAGTGGTAGCTTTAATCCGTAGTGTAATTAAAGAAATTAGACCTCAATTAGCATTTATGCATAGACATTGGTTACATAAACATGTCAACGTTTTCTGATTTAAGATGCAGTCTTAAGCAATATTCCTTAAATGACATACCAATGAGACGTTTCTTTAATACAATTGACAGTTGTCAAGCTTGCATGTAAGCTATCAGTTTAAAAAAGTTGGACGGTTGTTTTTAAGGATGTTTTACGCAGTATTAAGGCTGTACGGAGAAAGAATTTATTATATAAGTTATTATTTATCTGTTTTATCCCCCAAAATAGCGCATTCCAGGTGCCAAGGCGCGAATTGCAAGCAACATTGTGCGGATCAGTTGAAGTAAATATTTATACACTTATCCATTAAAATATTCTTGCGCTTATGGGAGCTGAACCGGTGTTTACGTTTATTCATTTGTGCTTTTTTTCGCGACTAATCCGACTTTTTATAAAAGGCTTGCATTCTATTGCCACGGTAGAAATGATATTTAGGCCTCATCGGATATCAAATAAAATGTTTCATTTCCTCCGTTTTGTCATTTCTATCTTCCACATTAACTTTTGACCATTATTTAGATGGTGACTTCAACATCTCTTTGTTAGTCGGCAGTAAATTCCTCTGTGCTGTGTAGGTTGGCATTGCACAGATTTTCGTGTTATGTGGACATTAAACTGCGGTCTTTTGGAATAGAATCACCACACCTTTACAATCCCTCGACTTGGCAATGATTATTTAGTTCTCGTCTTTTATGTCATCATTTACAAGGAGACTTATTGCTATATGCTCTTATTTTAATGTAAAGTAATTGTGCTTTGGCGTGGGCAGACTCTGGACCCATTACTAACACCGAGACAGCGTTCCTACTTACGAGTCTCATTCAATTGTCAGAGCCTGATTTTATTGCGCATAAATCGTGGTGCCATATAAAACAAACAAAAATTCCTCCTTAGTTGTAAACCAAAGAAGGCAGACATTACCGCCAATCCGTCACCTGTCCGCGAGGATCACCATTTTCTAGAAATGGTTGGAAAAGGTCTTCCACTCATCGAGGCCACAGAGCCCTATGCATTCCATCTAGACAGTGCCAATGACTTCCAATCCTCCGATGATTATCTCAACACAGGTCACTTCTCTGACACCTGTGACAACACCCTTGAAGGTGCGTCCTCCTTCCTGATTGGTTGCAATTCCTTTGCTTGCTCTCTCCCTTCACATGACAACAACAAATTAAAATTTCTCCCACCAAATTTATTAATCAGCTTAGTAGAGCCATTTCCTGAAAGAAAAACAAAGTAGACTTAGTTATTTATAGATCATTCGGTGTACACAAAAAAGAAACACACACACACACACACAAACTCGGAGGGAGAGGCAGACCTGGCGAGTGCGGTCGCAGAAGGGAGAGAGGGTGCGAAAGAGAGAGAGAGTGAGAAAAAATTATTTTATTTCTAAATCAGAGGTGGGCAAGTGGGTAGGTAGATAGATATGTGTTTGAATAATAAGGCACCGCTGATTTAGATAAATCACCCTTCGCTTTTATTAGCAGTAATGTGTGCGGTGGGGAAAAAGAGGAAAGGATGAGGCGAGTCGAATCCTTTCTCGCCCCCTTCATCTATTTATTTTTTTTTTTT